ACGTGTCCTCCTCATGTATGTATTTCGCATATTTCAAGTGTGGCTCGCTGTATCAGACACTGTACCTACGCGATTCAGGCCCGGTTTCACCAACGTTGTTTAACTTTAAGCCTAGTTTAATTCGTTCTTTGTCTCTTTCCGACTGTTACTTTAGAAAGAGACAAAGAACGAATTAAGCTAAGCTTAAAGTTAAATGACGTTGGTGAAACTGGACCTCAAAGAGATAAATAATTATCAACAAGCTACTAAAGAATGTACCGCTAAATCTAAGATCCCGAGCTTCTGAAATTTCATGTTTTGACGTAAGAATGTTAGCGAGGTGACCTGATCGAATTTACAATTAATTTTACAAGGGGATTGACGCGATGCCCCGGATAACTACTGTCGTTACAATAAACCAAAACGATCACACGCAAACTTGTTACATAATAACAGTAATAGACAATACGTTAGCTGGACGTTGGACTACCAGGATACGAACAGTTTCGGCATGATTATACCTAAAGTTTTAATGAGCGAGTAAACCCAGTGAGAAATGATTCGTCGATCGATGTCGAAACGATGTCGAATCGACGTCAATTTGACGGTATCGATGTCGATTCGACATCGTTTTGACATCGATCGACGAATCATTTCTCACTGGGAAGTTGATGTCACTTATCTCAAAGTTATTCTCAATTACAAAGTAATTATACGTCGTACAAATACTGGGCAGCATATCGTGATGTTAAGAGATTTAAAAAGTCTGACCAAATTTTATGAAACACATCGAGCTACTGACCGATATATACATATTATATATATATATGTATATATATCTGATGGAAATAAATAAGATATAAAAGAATATAATTATGGTCACAGGTAAGATTACAAATAAGTAAACTAATAATGAAAATGTTTCAGTTCAGTTATCTCACACAAACGATTCGCCGGTATAATTTCTTATTGCTATCGTTGCGAACGGCATCTCTCTATCGAGATACCTATAACTATAATTTAGGAATCGTAAAGTCATTCCTCTGTATGTGAGCTAGTGTGAAAGAATTGTGTCGTTAAAGAATATTTTCGTTTATGAATCGATCTTTGCGAACGAATGAATGGAACTTTGAAAGCTTTAACGTGACATCAGCCGGCTGAAAGATTATCGCAACGGCGCGTTCTCGGTATCCTCTCGTGTACGTATTTATAATATAATACGTACGTTTATCTGTACCTTTGCGTTACTTTCTATCGATGTGTACGTATGTATGCGAGTTTCCTACAACCACTTAACTGGAAACTTTGTCGGATAAGCTTGAAACCACACATTCACTCAAGCTAAGTGTGTTAGATACCGTGAAGTTGTAATGAATATAGAACAGAATCGCCTCACGAAGACACCTAGTCTTCCATTATATTCCATCATGTTCAGCAGGATAAAATTGAATGCAATTCCGTTCTTCGTTATTCTTGAATCAAAAGGAAGAATCGGAAAGTTCAATTGTCGCTGCGACGAATCCCTTCTCTAATGGCACACGAGAATTCTTCAAGTACCTATATCTTCAAGCTGCAATCTATATATGAAAAAGTTTATAGAGAACTGCTCCCTGGACGATTGCAATTACGGATAGTTTTTCATTGCGTATCTATGATATAATTAATTATCGCGACGCGCGCTCCGATAGACCGGAAATATAAATGAAACGAGTCGCAAATCGCACACAATTAAATCCAAGTGCCAGACAGATCGAGTGTGCACTGTAATTCGGCGCCGAAATGTGCCGTATTATACGTTCGGCTCGTTATATCATTATATTAATATACGTACAATCTCCCCAAGCCTTCAAGCTTATCCGACAAAGTTTCCAGTTATGTGGTTGTAGGAAACTCGCATACATACGTACACATCGATAGAAAGTGTTCGTATATTACGCTCGCGCGGTCGTAAGGGAAAATAAAGTGAGACGATATTTTGCAGATAATGCACATATTTAACGTGATATTTATTCGTAGATTATAATCATTTCTTGATATTTATGCGGCACCCGCGTGTTCGGTCGTCAATTTCAAATCAATTCAGAATCAAAAATATTTGATTCTACGTCAATCAGAGAACGATCAGGACCACACGATATATTTTATTGTTTTATTGGACTAGTATTATCGTTGTTTCGCGAGGCGGAAACGGCGAATTAATACGTTCGCTATATGACATTTGTGTACCTAAGTAATTTATTTACATAAATTAATTTGGGTCTTTAATTTATTTGTATACAATATTAATGCGCAACGCGGCCAACGACAGAAACGACGGGTTCGCTTATTGGCCGCAGCGCGCGATCACACATTTCAATACAAACCGTTGTAAATGTGCTCAGTCACGGAATATCCTGCTTGAATTCTAACCGATCACCTATTTCTCGTAGAGTGTCATAGTCGTAAAATGGTCGTTCAAATTTTGGCCTACTAATTTTCTTCTTGAACTGCTACTTCCTGGCCTTCCCGATTTCTTTATTTAACTCTTCCTAAATGTTTTTTCGTATATTACATCATTTATGATGAAAACCGCGTGGCTCCTGCTGCTCTCCTTATATAGCGTCTGTAGGATGTTGGGTTCGATTCTTATTACCCTCCGCCAGCAGCGAGAGCAACTCCTCGGCGTTCTGGATGGCGATCGGCTCTAGACCGGCGACCACCACTCCGCCCCTACCGTACTCCCTCAGATGCAGCTGGTCGGTCTTGTGCAGCAGGTTCTGCACGTTCTCGTTGTATATCTCCAGGTAGGACACGCCCAGATTGAACTCCCGGTGCTTGCTCTGGTTCTCTATCTCGGCGAACAGCTGCGCCATGGTGCGGTACATGATGCCGGGGTCCTCCCTGCTGTCCAGCATCGTGTGAGTTTTGCCGGCGCCGGTGGCACCATACGCGAACACGGAGCAATTGTAGCCGTCGAGGAGGCTGCTGATCAGACTCTTGGTGCTTTCAAACACGTCGGCGTTGCTGGACGCCATGTCGAACACCCGGTCGTAGGTAAACTGCAGCTGCTTGTTCTGCCTCTTCAGCATGTCCCTGCCCTTCTGCGGGACGTGCTCCTTCGGGTCGATGACGAGGATCTTGTCGTCCACGACCTCGATGACCGTCCGGCTTTTGTCCCGTGACTCGTTAGGCGGACGCACTCTCACGATTACCTTGATCGAGATATCGGTTTTCATCGTAGAGCCGCTCGTGCCCGGCTTCGCCGAGCCGCGCGACAGCCGTTTCACGCCCGCTTTTTTCGCTTTGCTAGGCGAGAACGCCTTACTCAGGCGAGAACGAGAACGCCTTTTGTACATCTTTTGTGCGATTAGTTTCCGTATTCCGTATACTCGACGCACATACAACTCGCGGGGAGTAACCCTCCAATCCTCTCAGGTCGCGAAAACGATCGCACGATCGACGTGGGACAACAATATACGAAATTACAGCATAAATGATGTAATTTCGTATATTATTGTCCCACGTCGATCGTGCGATCGTAATAAGAATCGAACCCAACATCCTACAGACGCTAATAAGGAGAGCAGCAGGAGCCATACGATTTTCATCATAAATGATGTAATATACGAAAAAACATTCAGGAAGAGTTAAATAGAGAAATCGGGAAGGCCAGGAAGTCACAGTTTAAGAAGAAAATTTGTAGGCCATTTGAACGACCATTTTACCACAACACTCAACGAGAAATAGGTGATCGGTCAGAATTCAAGCAGGAATAGCTCGAATTCTGAATTTAGCGGATTCGTCCAAACAGCGATCGAGAAAACCAGTACGCTTACATTGTCTTCGCATAGTATCACGTCAATCGAAGTTCAACAGCCCGAAGAGAGGGACTAATACTGTTTAATTTTTTTTCGTATATTACATCATAAATAAAAACGAAAATCGTTTGCGCCACTTCATCATAAATTTAGTCCGCCTCCTGGATAGCCCTAGATAACTTTATCTTAGAAAAGCGTGCAAAAGTAGCCCATTTCGAAACAAAAATATTTTCGCACGCGATAAATTAACGAAGACCGCTGTCCAGGAGCCAGTTCGTTCCTGTGTTTCTATGGAAGCGAGCACCGTAAAAACTCCATCATTAGTTGTAATTCTCTTTGTAATTTCAGAATTTGTTTGCCCTTGGACCGTTTTCTTCTTCTTTACATGCGCGACTTTCGATATCGGAGAATAAAAATGATGACGTACTATTCCAACGGCGAATGGCGGCTTTTTTGGGATTTCTGCGTCTCCTTTTTGCTCCTCCGTTTGGCTCTCCAATCTGATAACTTCTTTCTAGAAGTTTCTGTAACAACTTTGAAAACAACATTTAAAACATACAATTTCTTTTACGTAACAAACGTAAACGCGCACGATTGCTACGTTCCATTATCTACATTATTTTTGTTACAATAATTATGTAACATTCATAAATGCAATTTACTAAACCATTGAAAATTATCGGTGTTAGAATTAATTTATTTAATAACACAAGAGAAAGAATTTTATGTTTTACATATTTATTCATCGAGAATTGGTGAGTCTCTTCGTTGGCAAAGATTGATATTCACGCCTGCTGTTCTTTCGTCTACATCATATCATCGCTGAAGGTGAGTTTGAAACGTACATAAATAACAGAAAAAATCCCTGACTCGCTGCCTACAGGTAACGTCGACCAAACGAGGCACGCGTTATCGAAACATTAATAAGCGTTCGAGATATACGTGAATCTCTCCCGGCGTATCGCGCGCATTTACATTTGCATAACAATAACGATTGCGTTATCACGCCTCACCATTCTGTGATATTGCGGAGCCTGGCGAGACCTCCCTTCGATTTTCCTCGAAGTCCTGCATTCTGCGTGTCTTGCGTTTCGCCCGTTGCTGCTGAGAGAGATCGGCTTGAATCCTCTTCACGTTACCAAAGGCGATCGGCGGCCTCTTATGCGAATTCCTCAGGACCGGCATTTCTTTTTTTTTGCCCAAATAAGAACTGAGACGTGCTCGTCAGGTCGGACAGACGTACAATGATCGAACACGAGTCTTGAACTCTTGCTTGAGACCATGGTGGAAGGGATGCTTGAGACTCTTGAGCATCCCCGTGCCCCCACAATCGGAGCTGAACCAATCAAGGGATGACACCGAACTCGTAATCATATCGCGCAAGCGTGTTAACGTCACACCAATCGTGAACATAGTAGCCGCGGCGTACGCAGCCATGAAGAACATGAGCGCTAAGCTAAGGCGAACGAATATATAATACAAGTAGCCTTACGGCTCGGCCATCCTGAAAAGGACATTCGTCCCGAATGTTTAATTAAATACAAAGATTAAAGATAAATTAACACAATAGGCGCAAATATTAAAATTACATCCAGTCTTAATCGCTTATATATATATATATATATATCTTAAATTCTATGAAACGAAAACAAATTATTAAAATAAAAACTTAAAGTGACAACGTTACATGATTGGTTTTTTAACCCACGGTTTAATTCTATCTGGAGACAAATTAGAATTATACGGTCTTGAGGTAATATTATAACCAGGAATGTCACATATACAACATATCGATTATTGTTTAACGTTTTCGCTATTAAATAAGGCCCTTTATAATTAGGTTTTAATTTCCTGTCTTCTCCGGATTTAAGTACAGTGTCACGTATCATAACATAATCACCAGGCTGATACTGAGATGGTTTCTTACGATGTTTGTCATAATAGGCTTTATTATAACTTTTAATTTTATCCATTGCTGTTAAAGCTATTTTTGACTAGCATTTCTTTCTTTATCAACATCGAGATCTATTTTAGCAATTTGTCTTAGACATTTAATCAGTTCAGCATCAGCATGGTTACGCTGGTCAAAACCCATACAGTAATAATTTTGATGGGGACGCATTCAATGACTTATGAAAAGTATTGTTAATTACATACTGAATTAATTCAAGAGCCTTATTCCATTCTCGTAGTTCTTCAACGAGACGCTTAAGAGAAGACTTAAGAAATCTGTTGACTCTTTCAACAACACCATTAGCCCATGGTGCGGTAACTGCAACTTGTCGGTGTTTAATATTGCGTATTTTGAGAAAATCGGTAAATTCATGTGAAGTAAACGCAGTACCCCTATCTGTCACAAGTATTTGGGGATTACCAAAATTCTGAAAAATTGAAATAAAATGTTTAATAGTTTCTTTCGAACTGGTAGATTTAACAGCAAAAAGCCAAGTAAATCTGGTAAAAGCATCTATTACTAATAGAATATGTTTAAAACCATCCGTAGTTTCTGTAAGAGGACCAAAAATGATCCGAATGAAAAGAGCTCTACCATTTGCATTTCTCCTTCACGTGAATTCACTGCAGAATTGGCAAACATACAAAGTAAACAATTATCAACGTAATCACAAACTTTTTTTCGTAATGAAGGATACCAATAATTAATTGAAATACCCTGTGAAGTTTTTTCAACACCGCAATGTGCCACGTCATCATGATACGCTCGAATGATATTAATTATCATAGATTCAGAAATAGCAAAACGAGGTTTATCGTTTCCTTTTCTATAGACGAGTCCGTCTATAAGTTCGTCATCATTTGAAAATTCTAAAAGCTCAGCAATCGCTTCGAGTCTAGGATCTTGAAGTTGTTTATATTCCAACTCTTTTTCTAAAGGCAATATAGTTCGAACCGTACGAAATATCTGTCGAAATACGGATGAGTTTTCTTCCTTCCTGATCTCTGGTCAAAATGACCAGACTGTATGGCCAGGAGCAACGAAAGGTATGTCCAATCTGGCCCAACGATGGACTAAATACGACGAGGTAAGTGGTCAATATCCACTCTGGTGGAGTAAGTAAAGTGATGTACGAAATAATGATGATTTCTTTTCATGTGTCAAAATTCGGGTGGGTTATTTTTCTGTATATATTCTCGCATATATGCGAGATTAACAAGTCCCCTATTAAATTTCATTCGCGCGCGTATAACCCCAAATCGTACCTCTTATAAATCGCGTCGCGATTTTAATGAAAGACTTGTTTATTAACGTAAAGTTGAAGCGCAGGAAGGTAGGAAAATGGATAGGACTATACAGCGGAATACGCAGGTAGGGATTCGGATAGGCAGGGACAGGGGGACATAACTCGATAATTGAAAAGATAGCAAAATTATAACTTCACTGTATTACTATTAAATATAATTATATTTGCCATTATTTTTAATAATTTTTAATAAAATACTTTTAATAAAATATGTTTCTAATAAAATATACTTTTAATATAAAACTCGACAAGTTAATACATTTTTAATAAAATACGTTAAATTACACTAAAATAATTATTCAAAATATTACATTGTAATTTTGTCGTATTTATTTTAAATTTTATTACATTAGTTGTAGGAATTAGAAAAATGTAATATTGAATATGTAATCGGATGGATATAATAAAATGGAAGTTGTTATGCGTTTGTTAAGCTTTTACTAAAAATTTACTTAAAATATTTGTACAATTGCTTGACTTTTAAGAGATCGCTAATGAATATGTTCGGGATATATTTTATCCCAAATATGCATTATGTATATATTTTACATTGCAAGAATTTCATGTAATTGTATGCATACCGAATATTTCACATGTATAACCGTCGAGAGAAATATTGTATTGTACGGATATTATATTTTTAATTTTGTGATGTAATTATTTCTTTTATAATATTGTATGCATTGTAAAATAAATTATAAGACAAATGAAATAAATAATAAAAATGTAAGAAGCCAAATTCTAACGAAAAGAGGACCGTTGATTAAACGCGGCGGGGGTGGTGGAGGGGCTCATATAGGTCGATTTGTTCCTATATATACAAAATTTTAGTTCAATTGGATTCACATAGTCTCTTAATCGATAGATTTTTGTTTGCAATTAATCGATAAAGTTGCTCTTACAGTTTGATTTTTCGTTTGCAAATTAATGAGAAATGCTATACAATCGGCACAGCTACAAGTGTAGTACCTATTGTGTAACATTTTCTATTAATGTTGTACATTGTAAGAGTAATGCATTTATTATTGTATGCATAATGGAATGCATATTGTACATATTTTTATTGTATATTTGTTTTTAGTTTCACACACTATATAACTTATAATTTTTCACTGTATAACTTTCTCTGTCTATATTTTTGTATATATTTTTATTGCAAGCAAAAGAGGACCATCGATAAGAATTCGGCGCGGGTGGCGGAGGAGTTTCTTTTACAAAAATTAATTCCTACTTGGTATCATTTTCTGTTATCACATATACTTTGGTGGAATATACCGCAAATATTTCAGAAAATATGAAAATATATAATAACTTTTTAAAAATGTCTAAATAACTGTATTTTAAATATGATGTACAACAATATTTCGACAGGTTCGTATACTTGACGCTTTTTTGTATCCTTTTTAAAAATGTGGACTTTATAGCTAATTTTTATGTTCGTGTTGGGACTCTATGCGGTTTCCTCCGAAAACGGCTCGATTCAGCTCGCTTCTAACAGGTGTCCCAATACGGGAGTAACAACAGCATACCTTTTTTAGATTGTTTAAGTGAACGCATATGCTAATTTATGATACCTACATTTGATACACTATTATGATATCTACAGTTCGTAGAAATTCATATGTATGCCATATTATATTATCACAGATGCCTTCAAATTCGCAAATATAAAGATATATTATTGCGTTACATGTCTCGAGATATTACATCTTTTCTGAAGTTAAACTCATACTATATACCATACTAGTATTATACATATAATAACGTACTGCCATTCGTATGTTATAATATTATATATTTTCGTATATAATATTACAATACTTTCTTATTATAAATTTTATTACGGTGGGGGGTGAACATTTGCATCAACGAGATACAGGGTATCTCCACCATCAAAGACAACACGTAGGAACAACAGTAACTGATCGCAATATATCCCACACCCATAACAACCTAGAAACAAAAGCGAAAAGAAACTGATAAAACATTTATGAAAAGTTAAAAAAATTTGCAGCGTATATTTTTATTAATGCTGGACTTTTTTATGTTTATATACTTACAGCAGGCAGAAATTCAAAATGCGTTGCAATATTACCGTATAAATTAATTGACCGTATAATGACTGGATTTAAAAGATAAGCACAGTACGTGAGTTTACTAAAAGGGATCCAGCCTTTGAACGATAGTAACTGATTAACGATTCCTAGAACAAAAAACGAGCATGCAGTAAATAAAATGACATGTTTTGAAACAATGATAAAACTTAAAATGTAAAATATCACTATTATTTTAACAGTAGATATAACAATTTAATAAGAACGTATACTAATGAAAAAACGGACCTCCGTGGTTAGTGGAACACATTATTACAATGCATGCTATACCTATAGCAAAAAATATTCTGTATAGTGCTACATAAATAGCAGTAGCCAGAACGGATAGGCGTCGCTTGTAAACCACAAAGAATACACCAATAATGCAAGCACTAGCAAGGAACCAACACAACCTTATAACTTTCTGAAATATACATATGTAAAATTATTATAATACATTTTAATTTATGCTATGACATATAGTTGATTGATACAGAAATGTATATACAATAAATTTATAGTATATTCCATAACAATATCAATAACTTCCTTTTTAACATATTATAGAAAAGTAAAATTAATATTTTACCCTTTTCAAGGCCAAAGTATTGTTCAATTTTGTTAAAACGTAGCCTGCAATCATTCCAATAACATATGGATTTATTCTCATCCATGGTGGTGTATATATCATATCCGCAAGTCTAAACAGTTCATCTAATCTGCAACAATAAGAAAATGGTCCTCTTAATTAATTTCATAATAACATATTATTTTGATAACTTACGTCAGGGTATATTCGTGAACGTATACAATATAACCGCTAAGAATAGTGGAGCCTATTAAAAGTGCACTCAATATCGTAACAGCAACGTAAAAGTATCTAAAATTTATAATATATATTTATTAAAATATACACAAAGTACTAGTTATAAAATCATCTGTATTCGATTAACTTACACAGTCGAAAAAATCAAAAGCATGATAGCGAGTACGTAAAATTGCATATCATTAGCTAGATACCAGCTCCAAGTCAGGCACTGCAGTAAAAATTATTATAGAATGAAACTTTTATGGGCCTCTGAACATAGTTTTTAGCTGATCCAAATGTGTACGTACCATGTCATCAATAGGAAAAAGATTATTTATGTATAAAAGATTTCTCCACCAGTACTTCGGACAAGTTTCGTGCGACCTCTCATGCACGTAAAATTGCGATGTCTTATCGAACCAAGCAGAGCTTAATTGTGATAGTCCAATTACTACCATGTAAGCCGGCGTCAACCTAAACAAAATTTTAATTTTATTATGATTATTGTATTGCTTTTGTTGTTGTCTGCGATAATCACGATAACGTACCTTATAAATCTTTTTCTTATATGAGTAATGAGTTCAATTAATTTCTCTCTGCAATCAGTAGGCTCCTTTTTTCCGTTCGTACGTCGCAAGTATGTATAAGTCACTAAACATCCGCTTGAGAGAAAAAAAACATCAACTGATAGCAAGTCGATGTCAATGAAATACATATAGTTTTCACAGAATCTCCAAAATCCTATTTTATTTTCTGTGAACACCAGACAATCTTTATTATTTAAAAGACAAGACACCAAAGATATTCATTTTATAGATGCAGTTTGAATTACTTGCCAAGAGTATCCCATGTAAAAAATATACTGTGGAACGTGATTATGCAACACATGCTTAAACATTTTAAGCCATGAATGACGGGTATTGTACCAGTATCTAATTCCTGGTTAAATATTTTTTTCGTATTTGTGTAGACGGAAAAATATCTTAATATTTTTCCAATTTTATTCTCCGGATGTGAAGGTAAATTAAAATTTTTTTCTATTTCCTGGGACACGTATTTTATACCTAAATTATAATATAATTAAAAATTTTTATGAGTAAGATAAAAATAAAAATGCTTTGATTAAGTAAGAATTATTAATATTAAATATAGGAAATCTCTATAAGTCGTGTACATAGTTACATATGTATA